ACATGTCAGAGACGACATGTCAGAGATGATGTCAGAGATCATATCAGGGATCATGTCAGAGACAAAGTCAGAGATGATGTCAGAGACGACATGTCAGAGATCATGTCAGAGACGACATGTCAGAGACGACATGTTACAGATCATGTCAGAGATGATGTCAGAGATCATATCAGGGATCATGTCAGAGACAAAGTCAGAGATCATGTCAGAGACGACATGTCAGAGATCATGTCAGAGATGATGTCAGAGACGACATGTCAGAGACGACATGTCAGAGATGATGTCAGAGACAACATGTCAGAGACGACATGTCAGAGATCATGTCAGAGACGACATGTCAGAGATCATGTCAGAGACGACATGTGAGAGATCATGTCAGAGATCATGTCAGAGACGACATGTTAAAGATCATGTCAGAGATGATGTCAGAGATCATATCAGGGATCATGTCAGAGACAATGTCAGAGATCATGTCAGAGACGACATGTCAGAGATGATGTCAGAGACGACATGTCAGGGATCATGTCAGAGACGACATGTCAGAGATGATGTCAGAGATCATGTCAGAGACGACATGTCAGAGATCATGTCAGAGACAACATGTTAAAGATGATGTCAGAGATGATGTCAGAGATGACATGTCAGAGATGATGTCAGAGATGACATGTCAGAGATGATGTCAGAGATGACATGTCAGAGATCATGTCAGAGACGACATGTCAGAGATCATGTCAGAGACGACATGTTAAAGATCATGTCAGAGATGATGTCAGAGACGACATGTCAGATCATGTCAGAGATCATATCAGAGACTGTCAGATCATGTCAGAGACGACATGTCAGAGATTATGTCAGAGACGACATGTCAGATCATGTCAGAGAGCATGTCAGAGACTATGTCAGATCATGTCAGATGATGTCAGAGACAAGTCAGAGATGATGTCAAGAGATCATGTCAGAGACGACATGTCAGATCATGCCAGAGATGTCAGAGATCATGTCAGAGACGACATGTCAGAGACCATGTCAGAGATCATGTCAGATCATGTCAGAGACGATGTCAGAGACGAGATGTCAGAAACGATATGTCAGACATCATGTCAGAGACGACATGTCAGAGATCATCTCAGAGATCATGTCAGAGACGATGTCAGAGATGACATGTCAGATCATATCAGAGATGATGTCAGAGATCGTGTCAGATCATGTCAGAGACGACATGTCAGAGATCATGTCAGATATCATGTCAGAGGCGACATGTCAGACGACATGTCAGAGACGACATGTCAGAGGCGACATGTCAGACGACATGTCAGAGACGACATGTCAGAGACGACATGTCAGAGATCATGTCAGACGACATGTCAGAGACGACATGTCAGAGACGACATGTCAGAGACGACATGTCAGAGATCATGTCAGAGACGACATGTCAGAGATCATGTCAGAGACGACATGTCAGAGATCATGTCAGAGACGACACGGTGAGGCTTCAAGGCTTCTGGACAGTCATTGGTCCTGGTGTTGGTTCAGGGCTGCAGGTTGGGATACTTCAGGCTAAACCTGTTAAATGCATCATATATGGCCTGCCTACAAACAGAACAAGAGACCGTGAGGATAATCTGAACAAAAGGACAGAGGAAGCATCAATAAAAAGTCGAATTTACCTGAAAACGTTTTGTTTGAACAGGTACGCACTGATATGCCCTCCGTTCAGGTAGCGAACCTCACACCCGGGCCAGATCTCCTGCAGACTGAGGACCCCTGTCCGAGGAATGTAGGCGTCCTCTTTGGCCTGGACCACAATGATGAGACTGGTGTCTACAGGGACTGGGACACAGAGGACAGAGTTCTGCTATTAGAACATTTCACAAACAAACAGTGTTCAGTCCAAATCCATCTAATAAAAGCAACTTCCACTGGTTTTTATCTGTAAGAAAGTAAACACAAAGAAAAGTTTAAAATACACTGTGTGACTTTCAGTTGTTATGCAAACTGTACCTATTTATATATCTGGTCATAAAGTTTGATTAATAAGTCTAACAGGAAGTTAGGTTTTAATATGGGATTCCAGACCTCTAGACAATATCATCACTGTCATATTCTCTCAAAATATGATTTTTTTTTAAATTTGAGCGTTTGATATTTTATGCAAACATTTGTTTAGTTTACAAAATTCTTCACAATATTCCTGCCCCACCTTTAAGAAAGTTTGTCTCTTTGAGATCAGAAAACATGACTAGAATCACAAGGGCGCCCTCTAGAGGTGAGTGCAGCATCCCAAAATGTAGAACTGCTTTTAATAAAACTTCTTTCTCCTTTGTCGACACAAATCACTGGAATAGCTTGCCAAAGAACATTATAACATGTTCCACTTATAAAATGTTTGCACATTTGGCAAAAACATGGCTGTTAAATAAGCAGATTTGTACTCATAACTGATGAACGTAAGGAGAATGTTTTGCGTTTTTAGTTTGCAGTTTTTGTTTTTAATGATATTTGGGTAATTGATTTATTGTTTTTACATATGTATGTAATTTTTTTTACTAAATTGGCTTGTTATTGTTTATTAGAACATGTTTGATTACATCAACCTGTCCAGTGACTGCAGGTGGAAATTAGCATTCTTTGCTATAATCTGCACCATGCATCTCTCCTTGTAAAAGGTTAATGAAATGTTGTACATTGTCTCTGTATAAAATAAACAAACAAACAACAAACAAACCTCTCTCTGCCTTTTCATCTAGAATTACAGATCTGTTCTGTCTTCAGTCCATGATACGTTCCTGTTTTAAACACTCTAAATCATTTTTATTTTCTTTATTAGCTTTACTTTCTGTCTGCCTCTCATTAACTTCAGTCAGGGAGTGACAGACACCGGTGTGTGGTTACCATGACAGCAAAGAGGTCAGCCTACCAGAGAAGTTGGCCATGTGCGTGCACTCATCCATCACTCCTTTCATGAAGCTGATGGACTCACTGTGGAGAGTCGGGCGACAGAATCTGGTTAAATTACCCTCCAACCTGTGAGTCCTGAAACAACAGAACCAACAGACCCGTTCAGTTAGACCAACAGGACTTCATTAGCTATAAAACAGAAAAGATTATTAGAAAAACTGTTTTGAAATATTTATCAAAGTTAACTGATACAAAAATACCAGTCAATGTTTTTTTCACACTGGCTCCAAAGTTCTGCTTTTAGATGCTTATAGTGTAGAAATACTTGGCTTGGTGTTTTTTTTAAACTAATCTGCTACAATACTTTACACCATCTTGTGTGGGAGGTTAGTGTTCAGTTTTACATTTTCAGGGGTTTAAATGTGCATATATATATATATATATATATA